TATATATATAGTTTTAAGGACTAAATACTTTAGGACCAAATACAAAATTGTTCATTTATTTCCTAGCCTGTTCTGCAAAAATGTTTCTTAAGGACAGGTTACATACTTACCCAGAGGAACTTTGCAGACCACTCTTCCATAGCCATGTGAACATTCAACTTTTATCCAAGTTTCATTTGAGGCTAACAAAATGCTACATTTTTCACCATCACTTTTACGTTTATTTGCCCATTTGACAAATTTCAGTTTTGATCCATCTATCCAGTTCCAAGATTTATCTAAAGAAATAAATACAACTATGTTTATTGTCATTCATTTACCAAGGTAAAAATGCTTTGTGGCTCATACAGTGTTATGCCACTATTTAAAATGAAATTCATTAAAAGTGAAAAAATTTAAAAATCAGTCCATCAGTTGCACTTGTCACATTTTAAGTGCTCAATAGCTATATGTGGCTAGTGACTACTGTATTGGACAGCGCAGATACGTAGAAAGTTCTATTAGACAACACTGATATAGAAGGTAGTGTTTGATTAAAGGGTAGAATTCTTGCACATTTATTGTGTGAGAGAGAGATTTCTAAAGACCTTTATCTCCCTTCCTCTCTAGCCCCAAGGACGGTCTTCCCACCATGACTCTATCTTTATTTTCCAGCTGAGGTAACGCCACCTTGTGGTGATAGTATAAACACAACTTACAATTCATTTAGATGGTCAACTTTGACCATTTTCTTTGTTTTTAAAATTTTAATTTTTAAAATTTTTATTAATTTCCCCCCCAAATCAATACATGGCTTTTATTGCATCTTTAAAATACCCCAAATAAGTCTGAGGAATCATTCGGCATCTTGCTGTTTCTATAGCTGGACAACTTAGATTTTATTCATCAGCCTGCTGAGCTCTTCTTTTTTCAGAAACAGATACCATCCACAATTTTTATGATATCTGTGTTTTTAACTGTTGTGGCTTGCTGAATCAAAGCAGCTGAATTGATACAAGCAGCTGAATTGATACAAATTCACTGTCATTTCCTTCAAGAATCAATTCATCTTTCTGGGCTTGAGATATTGAACAAGCAATGCCTGACCTCATCTGAACCCTGTAGGTTATTTTTTGCCCAAGAAATTTATTGATTTCAACAAGAGAACTGATCTCCTGAATAATGGCGTTGATGGGGAAGTGAGTGTACACAGACCTCATCTGTAACGGAGGCCCAGTGTAACAGTTTTGATCATGTTCTGTACATGACTGAGATAGTGCGAATGGTGGCCAGTTCTTTTCTACTTCCCCACCATTTGCCAACCCAGAGCCCCTTCTTTTTATTCCCAGGGAGACTGAGTTCTGCACTGATGTGACTGAAGTCCCTCTGCAGGGTGCTTCTGGGGCCCTTCACAATCACTGTGGGTCCCTTTTGACATTTTCTGGGATGTCAACAGTCTGATTGCTGAGAATGATCTTCATCCTCGCAGTAAATACAACAAAGAGCTTGAGTTTTTATTTTTTAATTAATTAATGAATGAGTTTTTAATTGAATTTATTGGTATGACATTGGTTTATAAAATCATACAGGTTTCAAGTGTACAACTCAATAAAACATCCACTGCACACTGCCCCAAACAAAGTTTCTTTCTGAGAAGTACTTAACATTTTGGGATTCACATTTATTTTGAATATTTAGAATTACACTTTGCATAAAATGTGAAACAGATTTCCTATTATTTTATTGAATTCATTCTTTCTCAATTTCAAGTTCACTCAAACTCTGTATCTGTTATTTCTTATTGACGTATTCTCCCACAGAGCCTTCTGAATCAATGCTTTGCAATTTTACTAAGCTAGTTTGAAAAAAAAAAATCACTATGAAGATTTAATTTTGCTCTGTGGTAAAAATGTTCCAAGAGGGAAGGAAACAACAAGAAAAGAACTTTCTGAATTACAGAGTTATAAGCTGGAAAACCTTGGAGTGATAGACCTGAGAACTCTAGGGGAGGTAAGTGATAGGATCCTTGCAGGGGGACGGAGGTGACAGATAATTGCTTAGAAGGAAAATATATCCTGTTGGTCCATGTATCTTAAACCTCTAACAATTCCAGTTGGTTTCAACTGATTTTCTATTTCATTAGTGTTTTCCATCATTACTAATAAGTCATTCACTTATTCATTAGGAATTTATAAGCCTCGAAAACAGCCAGCAGACCAAGTTTATTCATCAATAAGAAGCATTTGAATTAGATACCACTGGACATTCTTTAGCAAGGCTGAGCTGGTATTTAGGACAAGTTAGAACTCTCTTTGCATACTGCACACACAAAGATGTCTCTTACCAGTCGGATGTTGAGATAATCCAAGCCAAACTCTCATGGTAATATTATTATTTTCCCTCATCAGTCTGCTCACAAATTTATTCTCATTGTCATCTTCCACAGTAACAAGAGTTGCAGAATGAGCTGTTGAAGGAAAACAACCCCCAAACTAATTAGTTTAGGTTAGTGGTTTATTATCAACCAGCCATTTGAAAAAAACACAGAAACTATCATGATCAAGATCACTGAGGAATTCAAACTTTGCAAAGAATGTTTTTAAAACCTGATATGGGTCAGATGTTCAAAAGCATAGCATTAATAGCTTCCTAAAAAAGTTAAAAATATTTCTAGATTGAAACTGTATAAAGAAATATTATTATTATTTTTTTTCACAATGTTTACCTGGCAACCTTTTTTGATCTTGGAACTGGCTAACCAGTGAGACATGTGTATGAACAGTTCATCATAAAAAGTGAAGTGTGTGATGGTAGAAAGATATGTTTTCCTATAGATTTTCAGCACTCTCTCTTCAACAACAATTTCTGCACATATTTGCTTCTGTTAAAATGAAGATGAAAGCAAATAGGTTTGGGATATTGGGGAGCATTAGCTTTCCTTTTAATATTATTTTATACATACGTGCATTTGGTCATGCCCATTGTAAGTTTCTAAATATAGTATAGAATTGAAAGAATGAGTATTCTTGAAGTTTGATAGGTCACCCCAGACCCATAGAGAACACAGTGCTATCATCAGCATCAGGCAAGGGATGGAAATAAAATAATAACTAGACTTGGAAATCAGTTTTAAATGGTGTTGAATATTCTTCAACAGTGACAAGCCTATCCACACTTGAACTTTTGTGGTGGGGCATATTTAAAGAGGGGCAAAGGAAAGCCTTTACTCTGTTATAGATCCCACAGTGTGCAGGAACTTTATATGTTACCTTGTTTAATATCACATAATCTTATAGAGGAAGGTATTATCACTGTCTTACAGATGAGGAAACTGAGGCTCAAGGAGAGGAAGTAAGTTGGTTAGGTTTAGACAGTCAATTATAGAATTAGAAAGTAAATCTCAATCTTTCTAATAATAAGAATAGTTTTAAATGCTCACTACTTGCAGGGCACTGTTCTACATTTGTAAACATATTATCTCATTTCATTCATTATTACAACAACCCAATCTTTACCCAAACTTTGAAGCAAGTACTACAGTTAACCCTTCAACAATGGGTTTGAACTACGAGGGTCCACTTACAATTTTTTTTCCCCAATAAAATACAGTCAGCCCTCCGTAACTCTGGGTTTTGCATCTTCAGATTCAACCAATCTTGGATAAAAAGCAGTACTTTCCATCCGAAGATGGGAATCTGCTGGTGCAGGCCAACTGTATGCATTGATCTAAGCCATTTTATATAAGGGACTTGAGGATCTGTGGGTTTTGGTATCTGCGTGGGGTGGGAGTATGGTCCTAAAACCAATTCCTGGTGGACACTGAGAAACGACTGTAAATTTTGAGGGAGTCAAAAGTTACACATAGATTTTCCACTGCATGGGGGTCAGTGTCCCTAACCCACTCCTTGTTTAAGGGTCAACTATAATTTTATTCTCTTTTCAGGTGAGAAAAGAGAAACAATTATGTAACTTCTACACTATCACTCAGCTAGTAAGTAAGAGAGCTGAGATTTAAACCCAGACCTGTCTGCCTCCAAGGCTTAAGTGTTTAACCTTCACACTTCAATGACAGTAAACCTTTCAATTTTCTTCTTGAGGTGGCTTCTGACTTTCAGAACCTAATAGCTCCCAATAGTTCCCATCAGGGTGTGTGTGTGTGTGTGTGTGTGTGTGTGTCTCTCTACCTATCTATGTATCTGCTATACATGTGTGTGTGTGTATCTGTGTTACATATGTATAATGCAGAACAGTTCCTAACATGTAGTTAAGCAGTAATAAGGAGATTTTAAAATCTGTCCAATGTTTCTACAACAGCTAGCAAAATAAATGAGATAAATGCCATCTGCCTAGCTGAATTGCTACCCAAGGATACAGGTCCTCTAGAAGTCATTTCACAGTTTGACTACTGGCTAAATTTATCATGGGAGAGAGTCAATCATTGCTGTTCTTTCTAAAATAGTTATATCTGAAGATGAAAAGTCCTGTTCCTTATGGTGTTCAGCTGATGCGAGTCACTGTTACTACAGAATGGATGATCAGCCCATGTTTTTAGTTACCCTGGTCAGATAAGCTTATTTATTAATAACTAAGTCATGGAAAAATCTACAATTTTGTATTTATTACTTAACCAACTTTATACAAAATTTACCTCTTAACCCCTCCACTTAAGCATATCTAGCTATACTTAAAACCATTTCATTTGTCAGTATTTTCACATAACAACTCACTTAGCCATTTTCCATTCTACTTCCTCCCACTTATGTTTATTTTCCATGTACTTATTCTTAGGTTGATCATTTTTAGTGGTTATTCCAATATTCCATTGGGGTCATATATCATAAAATACTTAACCTCTCCCACCACTGGGCAATTAGATTATAATGCTATTATAAATAGCAAGTGCTTTAAAAATATTTTCAAAAATATAATCATCATTTCAAATTATTTCTTTAAAAAATTCCAATGATTCAATTATAGAGTCAAAGAAAATCAACGAATTTTAACTCACCAAGTTCCGAACAAAATTGTTTGGCTTCTGAGAAATTGCGCAATGCCTGGTCATATGCGTAACAGTGGTCCCTGTACTGGATCCACTGGGATCCGTTCTCTTTCACTGCTGGGCACCTCGGTGAGTATGTAGGAGAGGATACCTCCTGAGCTATAGAAATGTGAGACAGTTGTAAAAATGCACAGAAAAAAATGACTGACTTTTGAGTATACATTCTAATTAGCTTTTTGGAATACTATTTTAAAAACTTAGATGATAAAGTACTTGCTCTCTAAAATGGATTTAGACTAAATTAAAAACAATTAGAAAGACAGAATAGGAAAGGAGCAAAGACAGGCTAGGCAGGCCTGTAGCTACTTTGAAATAATAATTAAAATTCTTCCTTTCTTTGGATTCCTTTTTATTTTGATAATATAAACCCAGTTTTACCTTGCCATAAAAATCACAACCACAAGTGAAAATCTAGTAATGTGTTTACAAAAGGCCATATATCAGCAAAGAAAAATTTGTCTCAAACCAAAAAAGAGGAGGTGTGGCTTCTTAGTTTTAAAATATCTCCCTGGTTTCCATTTAACATGTTTGATTTTAACTGTGCTGTATACCACAGGAAGCCTGTGTAACAAAGCCTGTGCCTCTTAACACTTGTTATTAATTTCCACAGAAGAGAGTATGGGAACTGGAAAGTAAACTGTCCACAAGCTACTTGTGAGGCAGAGACGATCGGAGTCAGAGCCCTGGCCCGGGACGGTCAGTCGTCTTGGCCTGAGCCATCCCTCTGGACGCACTGTGTGGTGGGCACGCCCTTCAGCAATGGAAGGCGCCTCCTGCCTTTCCCCATGTCTCATCTGGGTACAGTTCTTCTTATTTGTGGCCCCTGTGATTCCGGAAGGAAGGCAGCTGCCGTTTCCTCCTTCATGGAGAGATGTTCTGATGGCTCTTAATTCCTTCTCAGCTTCACTGTCTTCTGTTTCTCCAGCTGGGCCTGATCTTCTTTGAACTCTAGTTATTTGACTGGCTTTTGCCTCCATTCTTTCCATTAATGCCCTTGCTTTGAGCTGTAAGTCTTCCTTCAGTTTGACAGTTGATAATTCCCAGGCAAGTTTCCTAGTGACTGATGATAAAAGTTCCTCGCCAAACGCATCTGTGAAGCCTGTAGGACTTGTGACAGCTCTACATGAACGCTGCTGATGGAGGGAGAAGTTACTAGCAAGTTCTTCCTTTTACCACCTTGTGAAATAGTTGCTTTCTCAAAACTGTACTGCTAATGACTCCACTGTTGCACAAGCAATGATGTGTGTTGTTTCATTGGATGAAAAACATACTGAACACTGGCCACCAGTGCATGGCTAGGACTGTTGGACCTTTCTGAATGGCTTGGCTTTGAAAATAAATTCTTCTTGTCTGGCCGGCATGGCTCAGCGGTTGAGCATCGACCAATAATCCAGAAGATTGAGGTTCGATTCCCAGTCAGGGCACATGCCCAGGTTGCTGTCTTGATCCCCAGCAGAGGCGTGCAGGAGGCAGCCGATCCATGACTCTCTCATCATTGATGTTTCCATCTCTCTCTCTCCCTCTCCTTTCCTCTCTCTAAAATCAATAAAGATATATTAAAAATAAATAAATAAATTCTTCTTATACTAGGAACATATGGAGATACCTTATTTTCAAAGTCTACCTATTTCTAGTCCAGTCTGCACCTGGGCTGTCTTAGGCTGCATATATTTTCTTTCATTATTGCTATTCATGGAGTTTTACTTCCAAATCTTGCTTTTTTTTTTCCCCTGCAAGGGCCAGCACTGAGAACCAGAAGCTTCAGAGACCACCAGCTGCACCAGGCCCTGGCCTGCCCAGCATGCCTCTGCAGCTCCTGGGTGGTCTGGGTGCTTGTGCTCTTCCCCAAGGTTCACGCTCTGCCCACCAGAAGTGACCCCAATTCCAGCCCCTGATGGAAGGGGCTCTTTCCTCAGATTTTAAGGATCATATATGTTTGGAAAATGCTTAGTTACACAAAGTGCAACAGATGTCTTTACTATAGAAACTCTCATAGCCATCAATACGGTAGACCACTGAGACATTTCCCACATTTACATGCTCTGGAACACTTGTTTAAAAGAAGCATCTCAGCCTTTGAAAATGCTGCAAATCCACAAATTCTAGAGTTAAAACTTACCTAGTCATAGAACAACTGAATATCTTTGAGAACAAATTCCTTGAATGGGTATCATGTGTTTATTTCTCTTCACAAAGTATCAGAATTATTTTTGGAGGACTTGTGAATAAACCTTACTTAAAATCTATAAAAATTCCTTTTTACTTAATCAAATGCATAAAACAAACATAATATTTTAGTAAATATACAGTTATTTGAAATAACGTCTTACATTTTGTAGGTTTATAGCAAATAGCGCCATCCGTATGAGACTTGCATTTTTCATGTTTCCAAATTCCTTTTGGATCCAAGAGAACACAATTTCCAGAAGACTGCTTATCTTCCCATGGGACGTAGTCAAACGCACTGCCATCAGACCACTCGAAATTCGATTCTGTTCCCTGTTTTAAGAATTAGAGAGACAACCTGAATCTAGATGAGTGACTTCAAAAAAGATCATAAGCAAAAACATATATACTTTAAGAAGTGTTGGAATGGAGCGTTAATTATTTGCTCGCAAGTGTTGCAGGTATGGACCTGTTTGTAAAATCAGGGATTTACTGTTGATGCAGTGATTTGACATTTGCTCTGGCACAATTTAAGTAGGATTTTAAATCTAGAATTACTACAGATTTACTACACTCTGTCTCTAGATTTATTCTGTTTAAGAATGAGTTTATATAACACTTGAAATTAAATGACATGCAAATGGCTTCCACTTGTCACAGTTAGAGGTTTACAATTCCACATTGATATTATTCTAAATACTGTTTATGTTATAGAGTTTTATGGTTTGTGTCTTGGCTACATTTTACCCCCCCATATTACAGAAGCCAGCAATGTGCAGGGAGCTAGAAGAGGAAAATACTTCCCAAGAAACTCATCTGTGAAGATTACTTTTGATTTTTCCTTGATTCTATAATCTTAATTTGCCGTTCTTTATTTCATTTTCTCCACATTGTTCTAGAGATTATTTAAATTAGGCCTTCAATTCTAATCTCAATAGATGTCTACTTTTTGTATACTAGACATTATTATTATAAGTACCTGACTATACTAATTAATGGGACTCAAATAGTGGCACAAAGGACGTGTTTACCAGGAGAGGATTACTCTCAAATAGTGCTAATTTCGGGGGGGGGGGAGTGGGAAGAAAATATACATTTACAAGTCCTAATGTTAAGAATTCCACTTGGCACCGTTTTGTGTTAATCTTCACTATAATCGTAGATTAAGGAAAATATTATCACTCCAAAATATTACAGATGAGGAAATAAGCTTCTAAATGTCAAGTAATGTGCCCATGATCACCCAGCATGTAAATGGAAGATCTGCCACTAGTACTGAAGCTCGGGCTTTTCTGATTCTGTGCTGTTTCTTTTTCACCAGCTTTCCAACTGGTCTCCCCCAAACAGACCACAGAGGCCTTGCTGAGCTACCCATCTGCTGGGCCCTGGCAGTGTTAGGGCAGTGGCGGTCCCAGCTGTGTGCTGCAGTGCACTCGACAAATATAATTTTCTATTTGTTCTCTGCTGTGAAAAGGTAAGAAAGTACTATGCCATGCAAATTGAGTCCCAGAACTTAATCTGATGTTATACTTTGAATTGATATTTTATGTTCACATTTCCAAGCCACTAACATATTTGGAAAATTTCTGGAAAACAAGAATACTCACATCGTGACTTGATAGCCCCACCCACAGTGGAAATCCATCACGCTTTGCAATATCTTCTAGGAAGAGCTGGCCATTTTGGTTATGAACACTTGCCAAGTGACCTCCACTCTGAGAACATATGTTTATTGCTTCATACCATGTCACTGTTTTTTGAATAACACTGTAAATGCCATCTTCATAGGGAATGAACTGTGGCAGAGTAGTATTATATTCTTCCTTGTAGTCAACTATAATATTTAAATGAAAAGTGTTTGTGATTAAATTTGAATTGTTTGAAATACATATTTGGGGTAAGACTGGTCATATAATCACTTCAAAAATTAAATAAAACTGTGTTTGTTATTACAAAGGGAGGTCAAATACATACTTCGTTTTTCTTACTGCCACAGCACATTTAACAGGCTCTTAAATACTACAGTAGTCTGGTTGATTAAGAAAAAGGCATAAACATTGTCTTTCACTTAAGGAGTTCACCTATTTCTTGTGGATAGAACAGCAATACCTGCAATGAGGGCGAAACAATTCCCCACTAGAATATGTGTAACTGACTGAGAAAGAGAGAGTCCTCTGAATTAAGGCAGTCAGCACCTTGCTTGAAAAATTAGGTCTCCAGAGGGTAGCGTAGGTGAACTTAGGACTAAAAAGAAATAAGGTAACCAGAAAGTAAGCTGAAAACAAACAAACTAATAATAACAAAACCACAATGATGAGGATATTTCAAAGGGACACAGAAGCCAAGTGAAGGAGCTCCCAATGGCGAGAGCTGGAACAATTTGAGCAAAATATTAAATAATATAGTATATAGGATTATATTCCAAGTATGAAATAACTAACCATGAGCCCATACTGGTGTCAATAAATGACTGAACAATATTTTTTCCAATTACAGTTTACATTCAATATTATTTTGAATTAGTTTTAGGTGTATAGCACAGTGGTCATATAGTTTACAAAGTGATTCCCCCAATATTTCAAGTACCCACCTGGCACCATACATAGTCATTACAATATTATTGACTATATTCCCTACGCTGCACTTTACATCCCTGTGACTATTTTGTAACTACTAATCTGTACTTCTTAATCCCTTTACCTTTTTCATCCAGCCCTCCTCTGGCAACCATCAGTCTGTTCTCTGTATCTATGAGTCTGCTTTTGTTTATATTGTTGTCTAGATTCCACATATACAAGTGAAATCATGTGGTATCTGTCTTTGACTGACTAATTCAATAATGGAATACGTTTTTAAATGGGGAGAATTTCAAATAGTGATGTAGATACTGCCCCCTTCTGGAAGGCAGAGGTAAGTGCCCACTATCTAAGTGTGGACTGAGTAGTGACTTCCTTACAAAGAGTGTGATATGGAAAAGGGGGAAAGAGTAACTTAGCAGTGGGAAAATCTGACAGGTATTACCTAGAGCCTGGTGACCAAGGTTAAAATCAATAGTGATAATCATGTTGATATCATACCCTTTACATGATGTGATGAGAATGACACTACTATGGTTTTCCCCTAAACTCCAAGCCCATAACCCCAAATTAATCACAAGAAAACGATGAGGGACATTCTACATGATACATGACCAGTGCTCCTCAAAGCTGTCAAGGTCACCAAAAGCAAGAAAAGTCTGAGAAATTGTCACAGCCATGTCACCATAAATGTGACATGGTATCTTGAATGAAATCCCAAACAGAAAAATGACATCAAGCAAAAACTAAGAACATATGAATAATGTATGGACTTAGTTAATAATAATTTATCAATATTGGTTTATTAGTTGTGACAAATGTACCATACTAATGTAAGATGTCAACAATAGGGAAAACTGGTTATGGTAATTTATGGGAACTCTATGTACTATCTTTGCAACTTTTCTGTAAATCTAAAACTATTTTAAAATGAGAAGTTTATTAAAGATATAAAAAAATAGTAAGACTTCTTGAAAGGCTTCTTGGCAGGAAAAATGAGGATGGGAAGACACTGTACATGGGACAATTAAGAGCTCAGCCTTTGGGGGTGGAGAGGGGGTGGGTGAGGTGGAAGAAGGCATAGAGGGGATAAATGTGATGGGATAAAAAGAGAGAGAGATCAGCCAGGCAGAAAAAGTCTTCACTGGGCCAAGAATGGGGGGAAAGTGGGGGCTGGAAGAGAGCCTAGAATTTTAGAATAGACAGTGAATTCTAGAAAGCCTCAAAAGTTTACATGGACTCAAAGTAATTGATAACAAAAAATTCCTGGAGAGTGTTGATGGAAACAGTGCTTCGGGAAGTTCTCCTGCAGCCCTGTGAAGAAGACCGGCCTAATGTGTCCCTGCTGGGCTCCATGTCAGCACAGCCCTTACAGCAGAGTGGCAGTAAAATAACAGTTTTTAAGCTGTGAAAAATTTAAAACTGACATGCATTTAAAAATAGATTTTTTAAAAGGAATTAGGCAAGGTTGAGAGACATTCATTTTCAGCCTGGAATGTCAAAACTCTACCTAAACACACTTTCTTATTCAGAAAAACTGTATTCATCCTTCAAGGTGCAGCCAAGCTTTACCTGATCCATGGATTCCTTGCTTTCGTTGATCTATTTTTACTTTCGGATAAATTTAAGCCATACCGAATAAACTAAGACTAATCTACATAAAACAATGATAAAGAATTTAATGCTGTCTCCCTGACTACATTTTAGTTGTTGAGGTCAAGACTACAATGCCAGGGACATTGTCTTTTCCTTCCTCTGTGACCTCTTATAGCACCTCTCATAGCGGAGAATATATTCTCTTTCCCTGGAGTGGAAACTCTACATTAGCATACTTACCCATTTCAATTTTACAAGCAAGAATGCTGTGCTGATGAAAAGAAAGTATTTCTTCAATAGCGTTAAAGGTCTGAATATCCCAGAAGCCATCAGTACTCAAGCCAGCAAAAAACTGGCCGTTCTTCACCGCTGGCCTCCCTGCTCTCCAGTGCGTGTAGGACAGCATCGTCTTATCAGACCACAGGAGAGAATTATCTAGAGAAGAAACATTTTCTATGCTTAGAGATTAAATCAATACTTGAATTACAGTTATGAGGTTAATATTTAAATTTCAACTTTTCTCTCTTCTTTCTCCACTTCCTAAAAGGTTGTATGATTATATGTATCCTTCTAAAATAATTATAACAGTAAATCATGCTTATTTTCAATTTTGAAAGCACAAATTATAAACATGAAAGTCAAATTTTACTTATAATTCCACCATCCTGCAATAACTTTACATTTTATCTTTCATCAAATATTCATTTCTCCTACATATATGTTTACTTGCAATGAAAATGACTGTAACTATTTTGTAAAAAAAAAAATATTATAAAACTAGTGATAGAAATCTCTTCCCTGGACCTAAACCATATACAGTTGTGCACATTTATAGCAAATGATTTTTGACAAGGGTGCTAAGACAATTCAATGGTGAAAGAATAGTTCCTGGGAGAACAGGGTATCTACACACCAAAAAAAAAAAAAAAAGAAAAAAGCCCTAGCCAGTTTGGCTTAGCGGTTAGAGTGTCAGCCTGCAGACTGAAGGGTCCCCGGTCCGAGCAGGCTCCACCCCTGGCCCTGGTCGGGGCGAGTGTGGGAGGCAACCAATTGATGTGTCTCTCTCACAAGGATATTTCTCTCTCTCTCTCTCCCCCTTCTACTCTGCTGGAAAGCAATGGAAAAAATATCCTCAGGTGAGGATTTAAAAAAAAAAAAAAAAATGAAGCTGGACCCTTTCCTTTCACCATATGCAAAATTAACTCAAAATAGATCATAGCTCTAAATGTAAGAGCTAAAACTATAAAACTCTTAGAAGAAAACATAGGGGTACCTTTTCATGTCCCTGAGGTAGGCACAGTCTTCTTAGATATGCACACATGATAAAAGAAAAAAATTACACACCTTACATGGCTAAATTGTATGGATTTGACTGTATCTCAATAAAGTTTTTGGAAAAACAAACTGCTAGGCCTATTAAAATTATGAATTGGGCCTGGCCCGCATGGTGCAGAGTTTGAGCATCGACCTAGGATCCAGGAGGTTGAGGTTTGATTCCCAGTCAGGGCACATGCCCGGGTTGGGGCTCCATCCCCAGCAGGGGGGTGCAGGAGGCAGCCGATCAATGACTCATCATCGATGTTTCTATCTCTCTCTCCCTCTCCCTTTCTCTCTCTGAAGTCAATAAAATATATTTTAAAAATTAATGAATTGGTGTGAAGAGTGATGTCATTCTTACCCACACATAACCCTTGTCGTCCTGGCTAGCTGTGCCTTTCACTGATCGCCATCCCCCAAAGCATTATCCTAAACACCTGCCTGCAGCAATGTAACACTAGAAGTGCTGTATGTATAATTTGGTTCTTCTTGCAGCTTTGTACCACCTCATGTCTCCCAGTCCTCCTTTCCTGCTCCCCAAACGTTCAAGTTACCATTTTCTGGCTAATATAATGGGCAAAGGTGTATTTCTGAGGTTGCTATACAAAAGGTCACTTTTTTACTTGACTTGAAGTATCTTTCAGTTGACACGTGGCTTCTCTTAGTAATTTCTATTCATGGCCTTAATTTTGAAAAGTAAGAACTTTAAAAAACGAAATCCTTTGTATAGGTGGTATATACAGTTAAATATTATTTAAATATATCAAAGTGATAAAAAGACTTACAGATATAAATCAAGCCAGAAAGAATTAGATTTAAACCAAATTTGCTTGAAACATCTTTCTGTATGTTGCTCATATGTCTATTTTAATAGGAAATTTGTTACTCAGACATTTTATTTAAAAATTCAGGATGATTAAAAGAAAGTCTAAGGATCTGAAAATGCTTTTCAGAATACAGAATATATTTTGTTTGTGATAATATAATTAAGAATGTCATCAGAGGTGAATCTCTAACTATATCCTGGGTGTGGTCTCCACTGCTCCATATGAGACCACTGTTTCCTCAGTCACTTTCAGGTAAAGCCTGAGAACTTTCCACCTAGTTTCCTTTTTTTTTTGGTAATTTCTAAATTTAAGGGTATTCAAGTGTCACTGGAATAAAAACTTGGGCAACTAAGTCCTACTATGATGAACTCACCTTCTACTGGCAACCTAAGTCTTACCTATTGCTTGATAGTTTAATTTTTACTCATTTGCAAGCTACAAACATTTAAGAAAAGCCTTTGCAGCTCTGAGAAAGGCAAGTTAGAGAACAAAGAGAAGGCCAGATTTGAGTAATTCTGCTTCTTTTCCTGTCCTACCTCTGGCTGTCATTGTCCTGTGCCCCTTATTAAGCCCTGTTCTTGGGGAAAATGCATACTTTTAATGTTTTATGCCCACAAAGTGATTTTCATTTTCTCTAATTCCAGACTTCTATGATTTTCAGGATATCTCTATCTAAATTGATCTTATTTGCCCTATTATCAGAATCTGTGTTTAAAAAAATGTATAGAGATTATATCTTGGATTTGTGGTATTTAGTCCCAATTTCAAATATTCTATCCCATTGTCAGACTATGTCTGATTTTCCTAATGTATACATTAGGAAAGTGCAACATGAGTAGAAGTGTAATTCTGTTCTCACTCATTCCACATACACAGTACAGGTACAAAGTAAGTACTGGAGATTTATATGGGAGTGTGATCATATTTAGTTAGTCCTGAACTGCTAGGAGAGAGAGTAGAGAAAGAAAACTATTTCCCACCATTTAAGTCTAAGCTTGGTGGAAAAGACATTTTAATAGCAGAGCAGAGACACAAAAACTGTCTTTGTATTTACATGTTATGCTAAGTACATAATTATAATGTATATTGATAAACATATGCTTTGAAGAACTATACTTTTATAGCTTGATAAACAAGTAGTTTATAAAAAAGCATGAATATAAAGAGAAAATCAGCAGATTTACAACTTACTTTCATAAATTATACCTAACATGACCCACGACGCCATATAATGAAAGTGCAGAAGTTGCTCTTGGACAAAGTTGTTCTCTTTTTCATCACGAATACTCAGAATATGTGATTTTGGATCTGTGAAATAAAAAATAGTCAATAATTTTAACACTTATTTATCTAGAACACTGTATTTTGATTTAGAAAGTACTATTTTCTAGTTTAATATACTCCCAAATTTAAATAATAGCAGAAAATAAGAAAGACATGCCTATTAAAACTGGCTCATTGTACTAAAAGGAATAGGTTAAGAAGTTTTTAACATGTTGAGGTTAAATTAGGTCTTACAGACTAGTGACAAGCTAGTAGTTGAGTAGAGAATTTAACACTGATTTGCCTCACTTTTTCTCCTTAAAGCTTATTTTGAGTTGGTACAAATCCACCTATATTAATGATACATTGTCAGACTATAATAAATAAAACCTCTTGGATGGGCTCTAAGACAGATCTTCTTTTGTCTTAGTGACCACTGTTTTATTAGGGTAAAAAAGTTTGATAGTTCCCACAGTGTGTTCCTTGGAGAATTAATACGAGTTCCTCAGAAAACAGCAACATGGATAAAAACTTTGCAAACATTGGTTAAACAAATCAACTAGTTCATTCATGCCAACATTGTATTATTATTATTATTATTCTAATATATCTTTATTGATTTCAGAGAGAGGAAAGGAGAGGGAGAGAGAGAGATGGAAACATCAATGATGAGAGACTCATTGATCGGCTGCAGCCCGCAACCCGGGCATGTGCCCTGACTGGGAATCGAACCCCGATCGCCTGGATCCTAGGTCGACGCTCAACCGCTGAGCCACGCCGAGCCAGGCCATGCCAACACTTCTTACAGTATATGCAAAAGAACTTTCGATCATCACTTAACAGGAAGTGATGGTATATAGTGTTTTTAAATCTTGTTCTTTTTCTAAGGATCCTTTTTTAGAGCATCTCTCATGACTAGCATTCTACAGAGCACTCTTTGGGGGATAATGGCTTGATATTTCCCATGGGAACTTTCCACAAAATTCAAAGGTCCACTGTTCAGAAGTTCCAAGTCCTCAGTGAATCTCATAGGAAATATCTGAAGAGTCTTCAAAGTGGGAAATACATATATTTTTTAAAAAGCAGAGCTGCTTCTTTGTGGCTTATCTAAGCTTTTGGCCATTTAAATTAACTTATTTTCATTTTGCCCACAGCTTAGCTTGATTTAACATCTAGTTCTCTGCTACTTAGTGTCACTCCTTTCCCTTGTTAAGTAAGAACCCGTTTTGTTTACAGCTGTAAAGACAGACTAGTTCTCTGATGAATGGGTAAAGAAAGAGGTAGCTCCTATACCTTCCATTTTAAATAAACACAAGTTTTAATACTTGTTGATAATGTGGAAATTAGATGAATATTTTTGAGATCTTGTTACTAGTGCTAAGTAGAAATATTTATAACACACTCAGGTGAGATTTAAAAATATGAGCATAATGCAATATATAATGGCATTTAATATACTTACTCAGTTTTTGGCATCTAGAATGAATATCATCATGTGTTACTGCCATATATCTATTCTTTGCTATCATGAAATTGTAGCAATAATTCTGAAAGGGTATCCATGGAGTGTTTAAGACAGGAGATGGACATCGGACACTGTAGGCTGGTTTGGCTTCTCTTTCAGTCTCATCTAGGAAAAAAGAAAAGGTATGAATACTAAGATGAGATATAAATGTTAAATCCTGTTTATGGTAATTAGACTTCATTAGTAGGAAATATTCAGGAAGCCAAGAAATGATAACCTGGTGATGCTTGTTCTGTTTATACTCAATATAGTGTGACCTCTTAACTGGCTTTCTTCAGGAAAGGAGTTATTTAACACAGTAATTTTCTTTCCCCTGCTGTGGAGTGAGTGCAAGGATGTAAAAAATGAGGTGCTATTGGGTTAAATGCAATTTCTGTACTCAGAAAAACTATACAAACATAATAAAAGGCACCTAGCACCTACTATAACTTTGAGAGTTCATCTTCAAGTGTCTGGTTACTGATATCATCTCTAATCTTAAAGGAACGTTTTAATGAAATATGTGATGTACCAAGTAAGTTATTGCTTTAACCAAAGCAAACAGAAATAGTTTAAAATCTGACATCTAGAAAACCCGATTATGGCTCTTCCCCCCATTTTTTCATTTTGCGAAAAGGCCATATATTCAAGAAGGTGCGAGTATAAACGTGTTCTACTCAAAGCCCGTTGAACTGCTTTACTGTGTAGTAGAGACCATCCAGTGTCTCCCCCAGCTCACAGCCAGCCCCTCCATCTGTGAAGTCGTGTCTTCTTACCCAAACCCACACATGTGGGCCCCTGACTGTTGTAAAACCACTTTCCTCTGAGTGAGCTGGAGACTGCATACCTGACTTAGCTGAGTCCTTCAGATTCTCTCTAAGAAACTGAAAAGTGGGATCAGAGACAGTCGGTTCTCCTCCAGTGATGGGTATAGGTGGGAGCCACAGAGCCGCCATGTGTCACGTGCAGGGAGAAGCAGAAAGTATGTAAAGAGAGGAGCGCAGGCCCACAGAGAGAAGCAGGAAGGACAGACAGAAGACTATCAGTTTCTGATTCCCATTCCTCAGGAGGCTTAGCTCTAGCCCCATTTCTGAGGATCGAAAATTCTTTCTTGGTTTAAGCTAGCTTGAGCTGGTTGCTGTTACTTACAACCAAGTGAATCTTAACAGAAAAATGTTAGTGGATTCTAAGAATTATAAAAGAATTCTCACAAAAAGAAGATTTTCTGTAAGAATATAAACAGAAAATATATGCAAAATGAGACTAATGAGGACTTAAAACTAAAAGGTCAATTACCATTGCCAGCTGATAAAGATAAAACAGTCAAAATTAACAAATTAATGACAAACTATTTAATATATAATAACTCTTGAATGCAAATATTCACAACAAAATTTATTCTTAAAAGAACATGACTGTAATTTCCTTATGATTTCAAAACTAGATTTCACAAAACCACTCCCCTCAAATTTCACTACTCACAAGACTGACAGTAATTTAAGAAATAAAATATTTGAATTTGGCATACTTCCTGGGTAGTAGCAAATGGCACCTGGTTGGTTAGCATCGCAATCGGACGTTCTCCAGAATCCATCAGTGTCTAAAAACACGCAGTCCTCCAGCTGCTCATTATTTTCAGCCCAGCGACTAAACTGAAGATGTTTCCCATCTGACCAAATAAAGTTGAGTTCATCCTGCAAGGAAAAGAAATACATTGCAAGTAGCACTACTTCATGTGATCCCTTTTGTATTACTTTGGCCCTCATGGTCAATCTAACGACTTAATTTTACCTTATATTTAACGCACACTGACATAGCACTTATTATCTGCCCGGGACTGTTCTAAGTGCTTGACACATATTAACTTATTTAATCCTCATAACAACCATATGAGATAGGTACTATCATACCCATTTCACAGATGAGGAAGCTGAAGGCAAGTAGCGTGCATAAGGTCATGTAGAATATAAGCTGCCCTGGTGTCCAGGGTCTGAATTATTACACTATGTTGCCTCACACATTATTGCCATGGTTGGTTGTTGGAAGTCAGCAAGCTACAGTGGAGTGAGGACCCCTGTAAGCACCGATAGACTTAGACACAGCATGTGGTCATGGACAGAACATGGGCTTCGGAGCTCAGCACACCTGGTTTTTAATTCTGGTTCGGTCACTTATGAGTTCTTGACTGTGAGTTTACCTTGCCAAGTTTCCAACCCCTCAGCTACTAAATGGATGTGACACTGAATCTCATGGCTGGAATTAATGGCATAACTCGTGTAAAACTCATAACTCAGTGGCCAGCTGCTACACACAGAGAAAGCTACATAAATGTCAGTTCCCTTCCTCCTAACCCCATGTGACCATGTGGATGTCACACCATTGTTTCCACACTTGTGTTTGGGGACATGCTTCCTTATTACTACATTCTATTGTGCACTCAAAGTCTGTGAACGTCTGTCGTTACATCCTGACAAGGGCCTGACCAGCCACCTATCTTGAGGGAGGCTTTACAGAGGAGGGACAGGAGTCTGGGAGATGGAGTGTGGAGTACAGTTCTGTCTGAGTTTCCCCATAGTCCTGCCAGAGCCCCAGGCCTTACACGGTGGCTCATGGAGCTAAGTTTTCCTGAGGCCCAAGGTAATTTCGTATCACTGGCTCATTTGGAATATTGGGCAAAGGCCACACACAGTCTCCTTAGAGAACCATAAACAGCAAGCATGGTCAGGCCTCAGCACCACCAGTGCTTCATTCTGGGCTGTTCTCCACCAGAGTTCCAGTTGTAACTTGTGTGCAGTTAAGCCCCAGGCCACATGGTTTCAAATGTGGCTCTCTGGCCATGCAATGCCGCCTGCCCTCCGTATTACCCTGGATTCTGCCCCTTTGCTGCACCCCCAGCTAACCCAGTCCCTGGGCCTCTGGAACTTGTATTCCTCATAGATTAATCATCCCACACCCTCCATCTCTTTACTGAATACTAAATCTCTTTGTTAAGACTATACATATATGTTTACTAAATTCGTGATGTTATTTAAAATCTGTTTTTTCCAAGAGAATAATTTCCTTCCAGCACCCACAGGGACGGCTGTTTGTTTTTCCATTCTCAAATCCCATAGGGCTACGAGAATGGGCTAGTAGGTATTTTTACCTCCTTTAATCATTTCCTTTGAGGTATGGCCCTCTTACCACGGCAGACTCCCAGATTCCTTGCCTCTCTCTGACATTCACTGCGGATCTGGCCCACTTGCTCTTCCCTGACATTCACGAAGGAGATGCCCCAGGTCCTGCTCCATCCCCTGGCCCTCCCACTGATTTAGGGATGTCTATGTTCACATGGACATCCCTAAACATGGGGATTCACCCAGTTCCCAAGCTTTCTTGACATTCCCTACTTCTATATGCTTTTACTTCTATGTACTTGAGTGACCTACTGCCACAGTCACACGCTGGACTTTATGTACCCCAGAGCTGCTAAACTGCAGACACTGTAAACATGCCTTAGTTCAGGCCAACATCATTTTCTGCATGAATTTCTACAAGAAACGCTAACAGGTCTCCTATCTCTAGATTACTCACTTCTTTCCCAACCTTCTCTCCAGTATAATTTTTCTTAACTAAAAATCTGATACTGTTGTTACCATGTTTAAAATCTTCCAATACCTTCACATTGCTGTCAATGTAAAGTTTTATTTATTTATACCCTGTCAATGTCCCAAAGACTTAAGGCAGCTTATGAAGATACTTACTAAACAGCTACATAGAATTTGTTAAAATAAAGAGTAACAGGAAAAAAGAGAAACATAACTAACGATTGAAAAACAGGATAAAAAAACAAGACCCAAATCATTACATGGGGGAAAAAGCTACAAAACAGTATGATTCCAATTATCTTACAAATAAATATGTGTACATAGAAAAACAACTTGAAGGATATATACCCAATGATTAAATCATACATATCACAGGGTATTGGGATTACAGCTGATTTTAATATTTTCTTTTAACTTACTATAACTTTACAGATTTTCTACAGTGACAGTATGCTTTTGTTTCAAAAGGCTTAAGGTGATTAAAACTAGGAAATATAATAACTTATTACTACCCTCACAAGAGACACAGTAATGGGTTTCCCATGATAATAAACATCAAAGAGAAAGTAAATAAACGCACTGTTATGAAAAACTTGGTGCTGTGAGGGTCAGGGAAGCAGTTCGAGCCAATGATATGGCTTGACTTGGGGCTACATTAAAAAATATCCAGTCTTGCCCAGTGGGGCGTGGCTCGGTGGTTGAGCATTGACGTGGAATCCAGGAGATCGCCTTCCGATTCCCAGTCAGGGCACATGCCTGGGTTGTGGGCTCGATCCCCAGTCGGGGGTAGCCGATTAATGACAACTCTCTCTTCATTGATGTTTCTCTCTCTCTCCCTCTCTCTTCCTCTCTCTGAAATCAATAAAGATATATTTAAAAAAAAAAAAATCCAGTCTTGGAGAAACTAGTTTTCAAGCAATTTCTATGTATTGCTTCTTTTAATTGAGATTCTGGAAACTGCTGGTGGTAATGAGTCCAAAGTTTGTCAAAGATGATGGCTACTTCTGAGTCTGTTCTCCAGCTCAGCTCTGGGTTAGTGCTAGGGCTGAATTGTCTTTGATCACATTTTCTCCATGCAGCCCTAAAATCATCTTGGTATGCTAGGGTTACCCTAAGGTGTACATAGCTTAGGGTTGCTTCATAAGGAAATGGACTCCCTCTCCCTCCTGCTCTGCCAATTACCCTCTCTCTGAGAGTGAATTAGGAATACTGGTCTAGGTGACATTTACCTAACTAGGGCTTCACCAGTTGTGCACTGTGCAGATGCAGGGGGCGAAGTTCACATCACAGTCTTTGTAAATGGCACCCTCTGTCATCTGCCTAATGTATGCAGCCTTATACCCCAGCCCTGTATCTTACCCTTCAATACATCTCAGTGGGCAGAATATCAAAGTATTGCGTAGAAGGGCTAGAAAAGAGGCAAAATGGCCTGTCATACTGAGAGGAATACTACGGCTTTATTTTTAAAATCGCTACTAATTATAAGCAAAAGCTTCAGTACCATAAATATTCCCATTTGTGCTACCTGTATGTGATTTAGTGTTGGGAATTGATAGGAGACTAGCATTCCTTGCTGAGCCATGAAATGAATGAGAAGTACCCAAGACATCTACCCAGGATCAGGGCTTGAGATGTGGGAAACACTATTCTAATCACCTCTTAGAGTGGCTGATTTTTACTCTGCTGATTCTGAAAGGGATAGGAAGGCGTCTTCAACCCCATCCATAGTCCTTCTACACACCCAACCTCATTTGATTTTTTAACCCTTCCCTTCCTTTCTTCTCTTTGTTGGCTGAGGAGACATGGTAGCTCCTGATTCCAGCTCAGTCTTTGGTTGGAATAAATAAAAGAAGTGATCAGCTACATATGTCTACTAGAACTTTTTCTTTTACTTTTTTTTAAAAAAAGTCTTTATTGATTTCAGAGAGAAGAAGGAGAGAAGGAAATAGAAACATCAATGATGAGAGAGAGTCATTAACCAGCTGCCTCCTGCACACCCCCTTCTGGGGATTGAGCCCACAACTGGGGCATGTGCCCTGACCGGGAATTGAATAGCGATCTCCTGGACACAGGTCGATGCTCAACTGCTGAGCCATGCCAGCCAGGCTAGCACTTTTTTTTAATCTAAACAGTAAAGCACCAGATCTTCCAACTGTGGAAAGATGACTGCCACAAAAATTACATACTTCATGAAATTCATTCACTGGAGTGAGGTTTTATGATTTCTTTTTTTTTTTTTGTTTTTTGTTTTAGTTTGATATGAGAGACGCTGTGCACAATAAAAAATGTCACATTCCACCACCCAATCCTGGCAGTCGGGACTGAAAACTTACATCTTGACTGGAGAGTCCAATCCACAGGGAAGAGTTGTACAGGACCGCCTGCACAGTCAGGAACGCCTGCTGGTACGGGTCTGTGATGCTCACCAGGCGCATGTTATCTTTCTGGCATTCCCTTAGGGCATCAGACCACGTCAGAGTCTTTAGGATTATTTTGTACAGATTATTTAGGTACTTTACAGTTTCTGAAGTATTTTTTGTTGGTGTGCCATTAATATCTGTATTGAAAAGAAAAAACAAAACACAAAAACCACCCACTCAGAGATTAAAGATGATGGCAGACTGAGTGGAAGCTACAATGACACTCTCCCAGGACCAAACTGGAATTACAACTAAAATATAGAAAAACCATCCTGAATAATTAACTGCAACTGAAGACGAGCTGGAGAGCACCCTCATAACGAAGGAAGAAAAATGGAGACCACATAGAGACTGGTAGGAAGTGCAGAGGCACAAGAGGGCTGGCTGGGCTCCCACAGGCGGCAGCTGAAGGTCTAGAGGGATATCTCTGCTGTGGAAGGTTCCCACTGAGGACTCTGGGGCCTAAACCCTAGGCTGGGCTTCCCAGCCAAGAGCACCAGAACTGAGAAAGGTGCCCACATAACATCTGGCTGTGAAAAGCAGCCAGGTTTCTGTCTGCCAGAGAGAGACAGCTGGAAATGCAGGTATCCTCTTAAAGAGCCAATGCACAAAGTTTCGTGTGCAGCCACTCACCTTGGGCTCCAGCAGGGGAAGAGCAGAGTGGAATAAAGCAGTGTGAGGAGAATCTAGGGTTGTGGGCTCTGGAGGCAGAGCTCAGAGGGCACCTCTCTGGATTCCTGTGCTGAAGAATCCAAATAGGCCCATGCCCAGGCACATAATAATTTAAAATGCCAAAAATTCAAGACAAAGAGAGAATATTAAAGACAATAAGAGAAAAGAAATCTGTTACCTGTAAAGGAGTTCCCATAGGGCTGTCAGCTGACTTTTCATCAGAAACTGTACAGGCCAGAAGGGAATGGCATGAAGTATTTAAGGTAATGCAAAACAAAGATCTGGAACCAAGACTACTCTATCCAGCAAGGCTATCATTCAAAATAGATGGTGAAATAAAGAGCTTCCCAGACAAAAAAGGCTAAAGGAGTTTATCACCACTAAATCAGCATTGCAGGAAATGTTAAAGGGACTGCTATAATTAGAAGTAGAAATAGAATCATTGCAAGAAATGTTAAAGGGACTGCTGTAATAATAATAAGAAATATAAAGAGAAACATAGGCATAAAGAGTTAAAATGGCAATAAATAAGGAACTATCAATAATAACCTTAAGGACTTTCAGGGGGAGATCAATAGCAATACAGCCATAGTCGTGGACTTTAACACCCCACTGACTTCACTGGATAAATCTTCTAGACAAAAAGTCAACACAGAAACAGTGACTAAGTGGCTCACTAGATCAGATGGATTTAATTGACATTTACAGAACATTTCACCCCAAAGCTGCAGAATATACATTTCTCTCAAGTGCACATGGGTCATGCTCAAAGATCATGTTAGGACACAAAACCAGTCTCTACAAGTTCAAGAAGATTGAAATCATATCAAGCATCTCAGATCACAAGGGCCTGAAATTAGAAATCAACTGTAGTAAAAACACTCAAAAACATTCAAACACATGGTGTCTATATAACAGGTTATTAAACAATGAATGGGTTACCAATAAGATCAAGAAAGAAATAAAAAACTTCCTGGAAACAAATGAAAATGAACACACAACAACCCAAAATCTATGGGACACAGCAAAAGAAGCCCTAAGAGGGAAGTTCATAGCACTGCAGGCCTACCTCAAAAAGCTGGAAAAATTGTTAGTAAACTAACCTTACAACTTAAAGAATTAGAAAGCTCCCCTATGAAGCAGTCCAGACCAGGGCTTTTGTTTGCTAGGAGCTTTTTTTTTTTTAATTACTGCTTCAATTTCATCAGTTGTTATTAGCCTATTTAGGTTTTCTGATTTTTCCTGATTCTGTTTTACATGATCTCACTCATATGTGGAATCTAATAAACAAAATAGACTGAGGAACAAAATATATCCAGAGACATAGAAGCATGGAATAGACTGATGAATCTCAGTGGGAAGAGGGGTTGGGGAGTGGGTGGGGAGAGATTAATCAAAGGACTTACATGCATATATGCATAACCCCTGGACAGAGACAATAGTGTGTAAAGGCCTAGGTGGGAGCAGATGCGGGGTGGAGGGGATCAATGGGGAAAAAAAGGGGGAATATCTGTAGTACTTTCAATAATAAAGATAAATTAAGAAACAACAACAACAACAACAACAAAAAACCCCCTACCCACTCTGATAGCCATAGGATATTTAACCCCTCCCTCCCATAATACTGTACTTTAGATATTACTTATTTATTCCTTTATGTTACATTTTGGGTGGGAGAATTAGGCATGTCTTCCTGTGTACCTTAAGTAAAATGTATGAGCCCCAACATTTGTTTTCTAAAATCTGAAGAAAATTCTGTGTTAGTTGATCTGATTTAGGAAGGAGAAAATCTATAAATAAAAGTAGCTTATGAAAAGATTTCCACTGCAGGTTGGTGTCAAATACCTAGTTTGTGTGAACTGCTTCAACAAGAAGAGTTCCATTACCAACTGTTCACCTGGGAGAGTTCCCATGAAGAAATGTATGAAACTACCCGTAATATATTTACATTATTTTTAAATAATTTAAATAATTTAAATAATTGCTTTGTGGTACTTTTCTGAATAGGGCCGTTACAAATGAGCAAAGATTAGTTTAGCAAAAAGTTCTTCAGAAGTACATAGATTATCTAATTGAGATTCTCACTACGTAACAGAATTAAAAAAAAATCATTAAAAAAAATGATTAAAAACTTATTGTGTGCCCAGCCGAGTGTGGCTCAGTGGTTGAGCATCCACCTAGGATCCAGGTGATCGGGGTTCGATTCCTGGTCAGGGCACATGCCCAGGTTGAGGGCTCCATCCCAGCAGGGGGCGTGAAGGAGGCAGCCGACCAACAACTTTCTCATCATTGATGTTTCCATCTCCCTCTCCCTCCTCCTTCCTCTCTCTGAAATCAATAAAGATACATTAAAAAAACAAAACAAAAATAAAACAAAAAAACCCCAACTTACTGTGACTAATGAAAATAATCTAATTCCTCTTAAAAATATCTTTTTGAAAGTATGGATGATTCCTATTTTTAAGTATACATTTTAGTTTTATTTGGATTATAGGAAATCATAGTGATTTATTTATAAATGCTTCACATCTTTTTTTAAATGCTAAATTTAACTGCAAATGTTTATACTGAACTAAATTAAAAATATTAAGTTTTTCTCCTCCTTTTCCCATGACAGAAAGTAAAGTCTGAAAAATGTCAGAGTAGGAAGCAGAATAAAGTTCAACCATAACTTATCATCATTAGATAATTCTTATTAACAAATTCTACCTGATACTTAATTTTGATATTTAACTAAGTATGGCAATAATACTTGAAAAAAATCACATTTCATTTGAGATTATCTGACTCATTGAGCTAATATGAATTTAGTCATGCTGAAATTTTCAGAAAGCTATATGATTACAAACTAATATTAATTCATTTATAAGATTTTTGTAAAAAAGTATGGTACATATCTAACATCATAAAGCACCATATTTAGCTAGATAATAATCTGTACCTGAGTATTTCTGACAGAGAGACAGAGGGTGGTGTTCACTGCAGGAGGTGAAATTCCACGTTCCAGTTAAAGGTGACTTTCGGTGGTTGAGCATCAGGGCACAATGGTAGCTGGACTCTTCCTCAAAAATCTAAACAAAAAGGCAAATAGATACAAGCAGTCATGAAACTAAGTGTGAAGACCCAGCAAGAATGCTCTCTGAAAAGGGTTCTAACATCACATGGTTTTGTGGGTAGTTCCTTCAAACTTTCAGGGAAAGAGGATTTCCCAAACTGAGTTTTAATTTTAAAACACAAAGGCAGAAAGCTACTGAGTTTATCTTATGAAGCTCAGATGATTAAAAAAAAAAAATCTGACACGATGGCATAAAAAAATTAACTCTATGAACAGAGGTGAAAATATTCCCAAATAAAATTCAAACAAATCCAGTTTAGTAGAATAGTAAAATAATATTCCACTCTGAGCAATTAGATTTTTATGAGAAGATAAAGATGGTTTACTAGAACATCTATTAATGTATTATACCACCTGCCAATAGGCTGAATGCGAAAAGCTATATTACAATTTCAAAAGATGCTGGAAACAAGTTTTAGAAAATCCAGTATTTATTCCTGAATAAAAATTCTAAATAAGCTAGTTATACAATGATATATATTAAACAAAGAGGCAACATCATATACATAGTATAACAATGAAAGGCTGCAGACAGGCCCACTGAAGTGTAGATCAAGTCTAGGATGGTGTTTTGTACTCCTGGTATTTACCCTGGTTCTAGTAGTTCTACCATATGTAGTGAAGCATGAACTGTTATTTGCAAATTATGATCGTCTCATTAGGAAGCATAAGAAAATCTAGTGAAAAACTCTGAGAAGTAAAAAGAGCTTTTAGTAAGATGGATACCTATGACATAAATATATAAAAAATCCCAAAACAGTAGCTTTCCTACATATCAGTAAAAAAATCAAGTAAAAGCTGCCATCTTAATGGCAGTAAGAAAGACAACTGCTATAAAAACTTCACTGAGAAATCTAAAGGGCGACTTGAATAAATGGAGAGCTATATTATACCATATTCTTGATTTAGAAGAGTAATAGAAAGATGTGAATTCTCCCTAAAATGTTATCAGATTCTCATTAGAATTTTTTATTTAATTGTTTTGATTGGAAATTGAGTAAATAATTCCAGTTTGTCTGGAAGAATGGGCAAGAATAGCTAAAATATCTTAAAGGCATATAATAAAAGATAACTACTCCTATTAGATTTTTAAAAATATGGCAAAATTAAAGTATTTAGCTCAATGTGATAGCTATATAAGAGTATATCTTATATACACACACAATTCATATATGATAAAGGAGGCATCCTATATTGCTTTTAACAAATGGAAATAAATGATGCTAGATAATTAGCTAGAATTAGGGAGACGGATTAAATAGGCATTGACAACACAGACCATATACCATGGATATGTCATGTTGTCAGAAAAAAAGGTGACCTATAAAAACAAACAAAAATACAGGCAAACATTTAACTATCATTAACATGATGAACTTTCTGACCAACAAGCAATGGAAGAAAAAGGAAATAAACAGATTTGAACATACACACACATAAAATATCAAAACTCATTTCTGTAATATTTTTGGTATTCAGACATAAAGAAAAAGACCTAGGGAAATATTTGCAATAAACACAAGAAAAACAGGGACAGCACATTTAATATTTACATAGTCATAAAATCAGTAAGAAATACATGAAGGTTTTGATAGATAAATTGGCAAAGAATAAGAAGACTCACACTTGATATTTTTCTTTATTGTGTTTACTTTTCTATAACTGCAAAATTTTCTATAATAACTAAGGATTATTTTGATATTTACTTTTTACCTAATTACATATGATTCAGAGGTCCCCTTGCCAAGACCATCAACCTTGAGCAAAGTTATATTGCATCAGGAACATCAGGTGATTATTGTCTAGGACGCATTTTTGGAATTCGATTTTAAAATTAATTTCTTAATCTTTGCCCTTTGTGCAAAAGGTGGTTTGTATCCAACACAGGGAAGACAGAAGCCGTGGGCAGCAATCTCATGATACAGTGTAACTATTGTTAATATAATCTCTAATTTCCTTTTGTAGTCTCTTTACATTTAGCTCTTAGGGAAAAATGATCACTAATCACCAATTTTGTACTTTTTGCCTCAGGAGACTGAGGCTGACAGCTCCGAATGTCAAAATGTTAAGTAAAGCATTTATAATTGCTTCTGTTTGCAACTCACTACTTGATGGTTTTACACCATCGTGAAATAAGGGCTGTGGCTCTGACCCTATTATGAAAACCCAGAGCACACACACAAAGGCTAGGGAAGCTCCTGTTCTTCTGTGACAGCCTTATTGAGGTACAACTCATATATGATATAATTCACACATTTAAAGCATAAATTCCATAGGTTTTGGTATATCCAGAGGGTTGTGCAACCATTAGCCCCCAATCAATTTTAGAACATTTCACCTCCCCCCAAAGAAACCCCATTCCCTTTTACCATCGCCTCCAGTCCTTCCACCCTCGGTTCAGCCTCTGGCAACCGCTAACCTACTTTCCGTCCTTATAGATTTGCCTATTCTGGGCATTTCATATAAATGGAATCAAATAAGAGGCGCTTGTTCTTAATCCAATAATTTACGGAAGACTCAAGAATTTCATAGAGCTACATAGGTTACCAATTCCAAAAAACTTACATCTCTTGGTATTGTGAGCCTCCGGCCGACCAAGAATGGGTGAAAGTTACTGTACGTCAGCTCTCTGTTATCTATCCACTTAGTTATCCTCTCATAGGCTGTCCAGCGCAAACCGATCCACAGAGCATCTTCCATTTCCGGAAGCAAGGCTGTAATGAAATCTGTCAAAAAGAGATTTTTTTAAAAAAAAGCATTTGACTTGCTCAAATTAAAAACATACTAAAAATGTCAATGAATACCTCTTGCTTATCTACCAAGATAGTCTTTCACCTACTCTAAAAAAATAGTTTAATAAGATTTTAAAAATATGTTGATTCCCTTCAGCCTCCCAAAGCTAACTTGGCCCCCAGATCAGAATAAAATATGTTTCCCAAACAATTCTGTACCTTGTTCTCTTTGGCTCAACACCGTAGGAAGGGTGCCGCCGTAGGTGTGACAAGTATTGCTTGCTTCGGAAAATGTGAGAGACTTGGGTTGTTTAATCTTTAGAAAACACTGCAAACAAACAACATATATGAAGCATAAGATTTCAGACATGGGAACGCTCACATAGGAAATAAATGCCTCATCTTTTAGAAGGTTGCTAGTTTTTGGTCTGTGAGATTCAGAAATTTATAAAGTAGTCCCATAAAAGTTCAGATCTGCACTTTCAATTAAAACAACTGAAGAGCAGTCTTCAAACTAATTTTTTTATATTTCCCATTTATTGAGTGCTTCTTCTGTGCTAAACAGTTTGCATAGTGTTATCTCATTTAATTCTTGGAACTGGGGAAACTGAGGCACAGGTATGTTCAGCAACTTTACCCTTAAGAAAAATAGCCATAAAATGGTATGGTCAGCATTTGGACTCTGTTATATCTGATTTCAAAGTCTGTATTCTTAATCATCACCCCCTTATATAAAAAAATACATTTAAAGAAGAAATCATCTCCCTGTCCCTTGGAAGAATATTTTAATTCAATTTACATCAACTGTGTAAATTTAGTCCCAGTACCACGGGGGAAAAAAGACTGTCCTAATTTTAAAAAATCAAAATATACCTCTAATATTCTTTACTACAGATGTTTTCAGCTGTCAGACACATCTCTTCTGTTTTCTTTTTGATGTTATGATTATGTTATTGTGGAGTAGTATGTTCTAAATTGTGTTACTTAAAAAATTCTACAAAATGCATTTATTTCAGCTTTCATACAGAATGAAGTGGCCAAGGGGATATAAGTCATTGACTGGCTTCTAGAAGACTCTAGAGAAAACACACTGAGCTTGAGCTTGGAACCCTTATGTTAAGGATGGCAGAGGAGAAAGACAAAGGGAGCCTGGTTTTGAAGAATTCAACATTGGTACAGTTTTAACATACTGTACCGATCTCTCTTTTTAGCAGCCAAATACATCCCCTAAGAGATACACATACTAATATGGATTGTGCATCTCAAAGAAGTAAGTATAGAATGCAGCATTTCCCAAGCCTATTTAATCATACACTGCACTTTGGAGGCAAGATCAGTGATTAACATTTGGTTAGCATATGTATAGTTCCCAAAAAGTAGTTTGAGAAATGCTGGTCTAATTTGATTGGTAGATGCTGGTTGGATATTTTCAAGGGGGAAAATTTATCAGCCAGAAATTGTGTCAGTTTCCAACATGCCATAGAGACAGTCTTGACTTCAGTGTGTTATTATCCGCTGATGCATCAACTTCGGCAATTTAAGTGTTAGCAGCAGCAGAATAGGAACACACTATTTTGAAAGACCAGTAGGTATGACTAATTGGAGAGTTAACTTAGTTTCTGCCAATGTAGAGGATCAGGTGAGAGGCTGAAACATGCAGAGGCTGTCTTAATGAAGTTATTTGATGGGCTGCCATTCTGTCACAGGTCATACAACCGTCATGAAAGCAATCATCGTTAGCACAATGTAGCAATTATCTTTATACCTTATTCTGAAAAGCAATCCAATCCCCAGAGCATTGTATTTTAGCTGCAGAATCTGGACTATATTTCTCCAATGAAGATACATTATATTTTTCACAGATGAAGGGCAACTTGGTACTACAGTCTGCTGGTTTACGTAAGTCTGAGAAATGAAAAGCAGGATTACTGTGGTGAGATTTTCCATTCAGAGCACTTTAAAAGCAATCCCATAATTAAAAAGCCTCTTTAAATTAATTCCCAAATGGTTAAAATATATTCCTTTTCTTCTCTAGCCATTTATGTCTTCTACTACTACTCAAATCAGTAGGTTACAGCATACCAATATTGTCTATAAAAATGCGCACATATGGTGTAACGACCGGTTACCACAGTTCCTGATGGCAGGAACAGAGCTGAAGAAGGCTAATGAAGGGGAATGGGACCTAAACTATATTTTAGAACTGCTGCCTGTTTCCCTTTGCAAACTTGTCTATATGCTTATTAGTTATGAAAGTGGTAAATTTATTTCTAAGTAATTACTTTAGGAAAAAGGAAGTGAAAATATTCACAGTGAAAAAGCACCTTTATTTGCATTTGTAATATGAGCTACTGTCATTTGCAATAAATCAGACTAAGATGAAACTACCAAACACATAATCAAAGGGAAAACAAAATTAAACTGGTAATTGAACTTGAATTTCACATATTAAATAATCAACAATAAAGAATTTGGAATTAGTGTTACCGCTAAGCCAAGTCTTGGCAGATATGTATAAACATTCCTGTCCAAATGTTATAGGAAAGTGATGCCATGGATGTCGTGAGCTGAAAGAAAATGAGAGATATGACAACTCAGGAGGTAGTTACATGTTCCATTCTGGTGTTTACTGTAAGTTTTTTAATTCTAAAATTAATGTTATGCCATTATTTTATACCATTTTATTCTTGATACTAATATGCAAAAGGACTTGGTTTCTTTAGTCTAGGCAGTTTATAGATTAATGTTCAAAACTAATTATAAAGAGTAATCCATTTAGTGAAAAGGATATTGGGACTGCTTCTTTTAAATCACTTTGTAAGGCAGCATCAATGATTACGACATACTGTACAGAGCGATGATCTATCATTGGCTGCTCAGTAGCTCTCAGCCACCACTTCTGTTCCTCATCAGTTATCTGAAAAACAAACCAAACACCCATCCTTACATAGGCTGAGTTTTCTAGGAGAGTTTTGATTTAACCCTGTCCCACCATAACCACAAAATACTAAGATTTCCAGACATTCCATTACTTTGCTATCTAATTACACAAACGAGGTCTTTTCACCAAAAGGGTAGTTTGAAAATTCTCTGAATATTCACAGGCCCTATTTCGCATACAGAAAATATGATTGCTGTAATTATGGGCATCCATTAATTGGACATATAGTGTCCTATTGCAACTAATTATAAATTTAAAGATGTACAAAGTATTTTTCCTCCAAAAAGCTATTTTGCAAAGTTCATCATTAGTAGAAACAGAAACTCTAGTTAACTATAAAGTTAACTTTTAGTAAAAAAATGTGATAAGGAACTAGAAAAATTTATATTATCTATTGATGCTCATTTTATAAATTGATATTTAGAATTAATCTTGAATATTTTAAAACATTAAGCAACCATATTTAACATTTCTAACAAAAACGATAAATTTGAATGTTGTTAGGCAAATTTTACTTGAGAGGAGCATTTATCTCTTGTAGATTTTGGCAAGATTTTTGAAAAATTTTTAATGGAATAAATATGAAAATAAAAATATTTAAAAATACATTATTTTGAATTACATTTGCTATTTTGTTTCTGATGGCTTTTAATCCTACAAAAGATGTTAAGGTAGCCAGGGAGCTGTGATTGCTGGCACAATACAGGACAGCTTCTTCATAGTTTAAGCGAGGATCAGCAACAAACCAATATTCACTCCCGTCTATTACAACTGGAGGCCCATGAATTCCGGCACGCTCTAAAGAGGAATATCAGAGTTAGGGCTGTGTAAACCAAACTGTACCCGCTAAGCATAGATTAATGTTTAAAACTTTCATAAATTATAATCCATTTAGATTTCTGGGTCTCTCTGGCCAGGGCAGTGCTTCCTGAAAGGAACCAAAGACTCCTGAGCCAGTGAGTGACTCTGCCACCCAGAGTCACAGAGAAAGCCAAATCCACCCTCATAGCCTCATCTCACCCCAGCCAGTCACCCTCCCTGCCTGGACATAGTTTGTCTCAGTTGAAGATGTGACAGAGAAGAAACTGGCACTTAGGTCTGGGTTTAAATAAACTAAATGCATTGTTGAAAAAGTAAAAGCAGCTTTGGCTAAATTTCAGTTTTCTTAACTCACCTGGATTGTACCAGTCTGGTGTTTTTGGAGTGCGACCTGCATAAGGAAGAAAGCAGGTGGCTTAAGTTTAGTGCCCAATTACAGATCATTGCATACTATAAGTAAGGGCCTTTAATCTACTTCAAGAGGACCTGTAGTATTGCTGAGGTTTGTTCATTTCTAACCAAACCATTTCCTTTCATGTTCTGATCACTTAAATTTGAATTCTGTGGGGCCTATGCTAAAGCTGTTTTAGCAGCAATGAAAAACCAGATCCGTTAAACATTAATAAAGTATTGCTAGCAGTTCTCTACCTTATACCATGGAGGTCACAAAGGAAGCCCAGATGGATAAACATAGCTAATAATTAGAGAGCACAAATAAGTAAATGAATATACTGTATACATTACATAGAATCACTAAGAAATAGAAATATGAACCAAGATAATCATCATTGTAGGGCAAGGTTATTCAGGAACCCAATTCTTCTAACGAAATTTGAGTAATTGTTCCGTAAACCTGGGTGGGTAGAGTTTATTGTTTCCTAGGATATCCTTGGAAACAATGTACAATGATCCAGTACTGAACCTTTCAAGAAGGTGAAAGACAAAACTGGGAGGAAAAGAATAAGAATCACCCAAGCTTCCTGGATGGAAACAGAGGAAATATTGAAGTTGGATGGGCCGATGCCCAAATGCCCCCAGACCCTGCGCTGAGGACTGTGGACCAGTTGTTCAACTCCCTGCGCCTCAAAGTTCTACCCTATGGAAAGTGAGGCTCGACCACCTAACTCACAAAGTCTGTGTGAAGACCAGGGGGCCCATCCCGTGGAAGCACCCCACAGTTCCAGGCACAGAGCAGTTCTTCCCAGGATGGGGGCTCGCTTTCTTCTCTTTCCATTCTGCACATAGGTCGCACTGGTTTCCAGTCAAAGATATAATTTTATGAATCTTAGAAATTACAGGGTAAAACAGCTGTTCCTAATATTGCTGTTGTATCAAGGCCTAATACAAAAGATTGCCTATATATCCGGCGTCTTCAGTTTCTCTCTTGGAGTTACTTTTTTGCATGTTGGATGATTTATTTTATTTATTTTAATTAATTTATTTTTATGAACAATGCTGCTAACCAGTTTAAAATATACATAGTTTCTCATTTGTAATCATATGTTGGGGGATGCTATGTCTAAACTTTAAATTTCTTAAATTAGTGAGAAAAGCAGAATGCAAGGTTTGTTTTTTTTTTTACAAAAGATTAAAAATATGTATATGTTTACAAGGTATAAAAAATATTTGGGTAGTGGCATTACAGGTATAAAAAATATTTGGGTAGTGGCATTACAAGGTATAAAAAATATTTGGGTAGTGGCATTACAGGTAATTTTCCTAAAAACTTTTCTATGACTCTTATTTTTGATATTCTTTTCTCAATTAAAAAAAGAATATTTAAAGAGCACATGTAGCCCTGGCTGGCGTGGCTCCATTGGTTGGAGTGTCATACAATACACCATAAGATCGTGGGTTCAGTTCCTGATCAGGGCACATACCCAGGTTGCCGGTTCGATCCCAGTCGGGGTACATACAGGAGGCAACCAATTGATGTTTCTCTCTCACATTGATGTTTTTTTCTCTCTACCTCGCTCTTCCTCTCTCTCTTAAATCACTAAAAACATATCCTTAGGTGAGGATATAAGAAGTATATATCTATGTCTATGTCTATGTCTATGTCTATGTCTATGTCTATGTCTATGTCTATGTCTATGTCTATGTCTCTATTTATATCTACCTATATCTATGTCTATATATATATCTCTACATTGGTTATGGGTATTTAAGAGTTTTTGGTTGTCCACAGACAACACTATGGTGATTACAAGAGTGAAGGGTGGGGCGGGGGAAGGTAGAAGAGGGTAAATGGGGGATAAATGGTGATGGAAGGAAACTTGACTTTGGGTGGTGAACACAATACAATATACAGATGATGTATTATAGAACTGTACACTTGAAACCTATATAATTTTATTAACCAATGTCACCCGAATGAATTCAATAAAAAACAAAAAAAAATGTTTTTAGGTTGTCAAATACCTTTTTTTAGAGAAGAGGGGACTTATTAGAAGTGGCTGAACATGCAATAAAAAAGGCAAGAGCTAGAGAAAAGGTCTGGTGATTTAGGCTACTAAAGAGGTGAGCTGCTTTGAGAAAACCAGAAAATACAGATTAATACAGAAGTATCTAGTTGAGCAAACTTTGATTGTTCTAATAACCAAGAAAATACCCAAACAAGGGAATGTGACACATTGCAACTTAGAAATTTAGAAACTGTCAAATGGGAGTTAACATTTAAACCTTGGATCAAGCAATCATTGATTGCTTCAAATGATTGGGAATGGGCTGAGACAGGAAGTTCTTTAGTTTTTAATTTTGTTTCTGCATGGGGACAACAGGGGTGCAATCATTTAGAAGCTTTATTTATTTGGTTAAATGATGTATGCTTGCTAAGTTAGTTAATTCCCTTCTGTTTTGTTTAAGATAAAAAATATATATGTATATAATAAAGAAGAAAAGAAAAAAACATGTGCTCTTTGTAAATTTTTCCTGTGGTTATTGGTTTGTCATTTCTAAGGTTGCCCTGGTGTAAACTCTAGGGTTTGCGCCATCACTCAAGCAGGAGGCAGGGTTGCAGCTAGCCGTGAAGGCACACTTTGGAGAAAGCAGTGACACTCTGTGGCATGTTAGCAAGCTGCCAGAGTAATGGGAGCATCACCACCAATGATTCAAACAAGAGACATTAGTCAAATTAATTATATATATTAGTTACTCTTCTACTTCTTTAAAGGGTATCCAAACTGGTTTTCCTTTGTCTGTCTTTCAGGTTTAATCAATAATCAGGAATAAGTCAGGTAAAATGTCTCCTTTGGAAAAACCCCATCAACACACACACACACACACACACACACACACACTTCCCCTCTTATTATTGGACGGCCAGTTTGCCTTTGTGAAAGACTTTATAGTTACTGTACCAAAAGTCACTTCTTCATCTCTCTTAAAGACAGTATGGTGGCCTTTTCTTAAGGAAGAAGAACAATCTTCTCATAGGCGGTCCAATGCTGTAATCTTTGGGTTCTTTGAGAACTTGTAGGAAGGTATACCTTTGGTATAATTTGTTTCTATTCAATTCAGAAATTCATTTTAGAACTTTCTATACATTTACCACTAAGAATTTCATATATGTAGTATCTGCTTAAAATAATTTGGGAGTTAAAATCTTCTTGAGATTTTCCTTAATAGTCCTTGACATTTTTCCTAGTAAAAAAGCTAAATAAAAGGATAGCTATTTATTCTCCTTTTTCCCTTTTGTCACCAAAGGCTCTACTAGTCAAGCTGTTCCCTGAACTTGAATCACATAAACTATTAGCAGCTTTTGAGTTCACTGAAAATTGTTTCCAAATTTTTCAGGGAAGCACCAAAATTTGATTTCCTGATTCGTACTTCATTCTTCTGACACTTATCTTCATTTTGCATCAAAATAAAAATGATCCCCTCTGCCACATTGCTTCTTTTACTTAAAATAATCTTTCATTCCAAGATCTAATCACCCTAAGTTAGCCTTAAATTTTTATCTTCCATACAAATTCTTTCATGATAAAAGAGGAAGGTACTATCAAATTTTAACAATCCAGTCTTCTATGAGGGTTAGTAGTAAGGCAGGATGGAGCTTAATATATTAGTTGCATCTTCAAAGGCTTTTTAAAATTATAATTATAGACTAAAATGCTCTCTTTTGGCTCAGCATTCATAAGGTCCACATGAAAAAACAGCGAAAAGGAATAACTACCACTTACCTTTTGGAATCTGACACACCCATTCAAGTTTTGCATCACAAGCAAAAGGCCTTAAATAAAGAAATTCTCTGTCATTATAGAAATGCCAGCCTCTTCGCCATGACCTCTGCATGACCTGAAAGAGGAAGAGGATTGCATGTTATTTTGAAGTTGATGCAACCCTTATAAAATACTAAACTGTTTTTAACTCTATTTTAGCTCTAACACACAGAATATTCGTTTAATGAATGAACACATGAATGAATCCAGTGTTCAAACAGTAACAGCCTAAGCAAGAGGCTGATAAAGGGGTATATTATAATATCATGTTTATATCTAAAATGAAATTATTGGTTATTTCTGTTTTTGTTGATATGAAATTGTAGAATCTTGTACCATTGTACCATTAAATTTGGGATAGATCAAGCTAGAAAAGAACATTTGGTTCAGTGGTTTCCAAACACCAGGCTATATTAAAGCAGATCTGTGAACAGTGACATAAAAATCTGGCATTAGGGGCCCAGGCTCCTTCTTTGGTGTTGCTCTGCTTTTGTAGGATGATGTTCTTCTCCACATGATCTAAGATGACGCTCTACAAATTCCAGCCAGCAAGCAAGGGAGAAAGGAAAGGGGAGGGCAAAGCCTGGGAGTAGCATCCATCACTTTTGGACTATTTTCTCTTATAGCCAAGATTCTCGTGGGTATAGTGGCAAGTGACTTAAGATTCTCCTTCTACAATACTGTTCTGGCTGGCCTTATTCCTGATGTAAGCAGCATCACTGTCTCTTTTATTTAGTTTTTTGGTAGATTTTTCAATCTTTTCATACATGGGGACTCTACTTACACAGAACATATTCTATTGCATCAGTGTTCTGGAAACTTCACAAGCTTCTCTGAAGTTTTCACTTTTTCATGTGTTAAATTGGGAATTCTATAAAAATGGCATATACTATACAGGTTTTTTTTTTGCTAGAACAGTTACCTTGAAAATAGTGCTTCCAATGGCCTTCTCAGTTCTTTGTCTCAATCCTCCTGTAACATTTCTGGTCAAGTGCCTTCTTGACTCTCTTTCTTGAGCTTACTTAGCAAAGATATCTAGATGTCTCTTTTCCCCTCATCTTTGTGTTGGTGATTCCCCCACATCTACTTCTTGACCCTTTGAGCTTTCATTTTATACATTTTCACTCCAATTCCAGTCTCTTGATTTCTACTTACTATAGGATATTTCTTACTGCTACCTTAGATCCAAAATATCCAAACTAAAACGCACTATTTTCTCCACAAACCAATACCCCTTCTGATTGTTTCTATAAATGCCTCGTCATAGTGGACTTAGTATAGTGGACCCAGACATGTGGATTTAAATTTTAGTTTTGTAACCACATAAGTTACTCAGAGTTCAAATTTCTTCCTTGTAAGATGAATACAATAACAGTACCTATGTCATAAGGTTGCTTAAGTATTAAGTGAAATAATATATGTGACATGCTTAACACTGTGCCAGGCTCATGAGTCAAGTGTTAACAGCTGCATCATCATCTTTATTCTCCCATAAAACTTATATTTTGCCTGCTAGAACCCTTGTAATTGCTTGTTTGCTTGTGTTTATCTCCAACTAGACTGTAAGTTCTGTGGAAACAATGACTATTTTATACCTTGTCATAATTGTATCCCCAGAGCATCACAGATTGCTTATATTACTTATGGAATGAATAAATGAATCAATTCTGCAAAGAAAGATGCCTAACTGATTTTTTATGTCTTTTGGTCCTATCTGTTGCATCTTGAAATCTGTCTCAAGATGAATCTTCTCACACCCTCTTTAGTTCATATCAAAAACCTTGAAAAATACTGTTGCCCCC